CTACTACTGCTACTACCGCTACCACTATGGCTACGACTATGAATACTGCTACGACTACTACTACTACTACTACTACTACTAATACTACTACTACTATTACTACTTCTACTACTACGATTACTACGACTACAACGACTACTACCACTACTACTACTACTACTACTACTACTACTACTACTACTACTACTACTACTACTACTACTACTACTACTACTACTACTAATACGAATACTACTACTAATACTACTACTACTACTACTACTACTACTACTACTACTACTACTACTACTACTACTACTACTACTACTACTACTACTACTACTACTACTACTACTACTACTACTACTACCTACTACTACTACTACTACTACTACTACTACTACTACTACTACTACTACTACTACTACTACTACTACTACTACTACTACTACTACTACTACTACTACTACTACTACTACTACTACTACTACTACTACTACTACTACTACTACTACTACTACTACTACTACTACTACTACTACTACTACTACTACTACTACTACTACTACTACTACTACTACTACTACTACTACTACTACTACTACTACTACTACTACTACTACTACTACTACTGATACTGCTACTGCTACTACTGCTACTGCTACTGCTACTGCTACTGCTAGTACTACTACTACTGCTCCTACTACGACTACTACGACTAGGGTCACACCTCACCCTCGCGTTTCCTCAGGATGAATGGGTAAGGGTAAGGGTATGGGTCCACGCTTGGGTTCGGACTCGGACTCGGGGATACCATTAAATTCGGAAACGTCACATATCTTATATATTTCGGGCACAGCAAGAAGAATACAATCGACTGCGAAGACAATCGGGATACAATAAACTTCGGGTACGCAAGGAATGTAATAGACGTCAAATACTATGGGAGCACACTACACTCCGAATGCGATGGGAATTCAATGGCCTTCGAATACAATATGAATACAATAATAGACTTCGATCACACTAGGGACACGATGCATTTCGAACACACTTCGTATACAACAGACGCCAGATACCATAGGAGCACAGTACACTTCGAACGAAATAGGAATACAGTAGACTTCGAAAATTACTCCGACGGTAGGAACCCACACGAGAATCTGTTTAGCTTACCCTTTGCCTTTTCCCCTGCCCCCGATTCGGCCGAGGAGGGGTTACCGCCCCCGGCCCGGACGCAAGGGTCCCCCCCTGCGCCCGATTCGGCCGCCGATGGGTCACCACCGGCGGCCCGGAGACAAGGGGTTACCCCTGCCCCCGATTCGGCCGAGGATGGGTTACCACCCCCGGCCCGGACGCAAGGGGCTACCCCTGCGCCCGGCCGCTGTCTCGTCGTCGTCATCGTCAGCTCCTCAGTCGCCCTTGCGGGCACGCAGGGGCATGACTACAACACGTTTGCCGACGACCAGCTCAGACGATGCTACCCGCACTTCTCAATCGTCCTTTCGGGTACGCAGGCCCATGACAACAACAATTTTGCCCGCGACCAGTTCAGACGGGGCTACCCGCACTTCGCTCACAGACGAAGTTCCCGCTTGGTAACTCCCCGGCTGTCAGGCCGCAGGAGCGAGTTCTCTTTTCGATCCTCTAAATCGGCCCTTACATCCGTCCTCAGACCTCCAAGTGACGACAGTTAGTAGAATCCGATGATCCGCCACGGATTCGGACATGATGTGCGGGCCCCATCGGGAGGGGGCTGCCGCCTGAGATTTCCTCGCAATTCACTCACAGACGAGGCTCCCGCTTGAGACTTCCTTCGTATTCAAGCCTCAGGAGCCCAAAAGTGACGACAGTTACACGTTTCAGGAGGACCCGCTCGGATTCGTAACATGATCCGCGGGCCTCATAGGGAGGGGGCTCCCGCCTGAGACTTCCTCACAATTCACTCACCGACGAAGCGCCCGCGCGGCACTTCTTTCATATTCAAGCCTCAGGAGCCCAAAAGTGACGACAGTTACAGGTTCCAGGAGGACCCGCTCGGATTCGTAACATGATCTGCGGGCCCCACAGGGAGGGGGCTCCCGCCTGAGACTTCCTCACAATTCACTCACAGACGAGGCGCCCGCGCGATACTTCTTTCATATTCAAGCCTCAGGAGCCCAAAAGTGACGACAGTTACACGTTTCAGGAGGACCCGCTCGGATTCGTAACATGATCTGCGAGCCCCAAAGGGGGGGGCCTCCCACCTGAGACTTCCTCGCAATTCACTCACAGACGAGGTTCCCGCCGGATACTTCCTCCATATTTAAGCCTCAAGAGCCCAAAAGTGACGACAGTTACACGTTTCGGATGACCCGCTCGGATTACCAACACGAAGTGCGGGCCCCATAGGGAGGGGGCTCCCGCTTGAGACTTCCTCGCAATTCACTCACCGACGAGGCTCCCGCCTGATACTTCCTCCATACTCAGGCCTCAGGAGCCCAAAAGTGACGACAGTTACAGGTTCCAGGATGACCCGCTGGGATTCGTAACATGATCTGCTGGCCCCATAGGGAGGGGGCTCCCGCCTGAGACTTCCTCACAATTCACTCACAGACGAGGCTCCCGCTCGATATTTCTTCCATATTCAAGCCTCAGGAGCCCAAAAGTGACGACAGTTACACGTTTCAGGAAGACCCGCTCGGATTCGTAACATGATCTGCGGGCCCCATAGGGAGGGGGCTCCCGCCTGAGACTTCCTCGCAATTCACTCACCGACGAGGCTCCCGCCTGATACTTCCTCCATATTCAATCTAGGGAGTGATTGATGACGAAGTGATGAGTCAGTGAGTGCTGATGATGAATGAGTGATGAGTGAGTGATGATGATGCTGATGATGGTGATGACCAGTGAGTGGGTGATCGAGGGATGATGATGGTGATGGTGACGATGATGTTGAGAGAGGCGGCGGTCCTACCGTCGGAGGACCACTGCCTCCGAAGCCTTTTGAGGATGAGTGAGTAATTGAATGAGTGAGTGGGTGATAGAGCGGTGATGATGGTGACGATGATGATGATGAAGATGATGATAATGAGTAGTGATGACGGTGATGGTGGTTGATGGTGATGATGATGGTAATGATGATGAGTGTGTGCGTGTGATGACGATGATGGTGGTTGATGGTGTTGATGATGTTGATGATGGTGAGTGTGCGTGTGTGTGAGAGAGGGAGGAAAGGGGGGGGTGAGATCCTGCGCGGCGTGTGCAGAGAAAGCAAGAACCCCACTTTGGATGTGGGGAACAATACGAATACAATAGAACTCGAATACACCAGGAATAAACCAGACTTCGAATCCAATAAGGCTACACCAGAATTCGAACACATTGGGAACTCAATGAAATTCGAATACAATGGAAATACAATGGAATGTGGAAACAACAGAATCTGGATACAATGAGAACACGTATACTCCGAACACAATAATAATACAACAGGACTCAGATCCAGTCGGAATGCAATATAATCCGAACATAATAGGAGAACACTAAAGCCCGCATACAAGGGGACTTCAGTAGAATTCGAAAACAACCAAAATGGGAATACCATATAATTCTTAGGCGACACGAAGGTGAAGCGTGGAATTACAATTTCATCTTACTTGTTCCCGACATCCTAAGTGGGCTTTCTGTTTTCTTTGCACCCCCCCCACGCAAGAAAGAAAGCACCGTCTCCTCTTCTCCAATCGCACACTCATTCACTCAATCACTCACACACATCATCACTCACACTCACTCACTCACCCGCTCACTCGCCCACTCACACCCTCACCCACACAATTGTCATCATCACTCACACACGCAAACACCCACTCACTCACGTACCTACCCGCCCATTCACTCACTCACACTTTCATCATCGTCATCATCATCATCATCATCATCATCATCATCATCATCATCATCATCATCACTGTCAGAATCACCGTTATCATCATCATCATCATCATCATCATCATCATCATCATCATCATCCTCTCCGCGCGAGCAAGGAGGACGAAGGCAACCAGGTGTGCGGAGAGAACTTCCTGGTCCACGTCGGGAACCTGTCCTACGACGTGGACTCGCGAGTCATAAAGGACCGCGTGAAGCAGAAGGGCGCCGTTCAGATCTGCAGAGTGCACACCGAGGACGGCAACGAGTTCTGCAGAGTGTACACCGCTGGGGTACGTACGGGCGCGTGTTTCCCTTCAAGAGAGGAGACATGTAAGGCCATTGTCATCCTAACCAAGACGGAACTCATGGGCTGGAGGGTCCTTGTCAACATGTGGTACGGCGCCAATGTACGACACCTGCGCCAAGCGGGCAGGGGCGACAAGAGCCAGCATGATCACAACCTGAAGCCAGATGTACACCATGAACTACAGAGAGGCCCCAGCACGTGCAAGAAAGGCCAGCAGTGGATCAGGAATAGCGACTTTGAAGCGGAGCACGGCCTTGGGCTGCGCTCTCAGGTCGTGGAACCATGGGATGGCTTCCACAGCCGTGAGGAAGCAAGGATCCAGGAGCCAGGATCCAGAATTCTCTGACGCTCTTGGTCCTGGAGTTTCCTGGGAGAGGATCGGCGACGAGCGAGGGGGAAGTGAGGAGAAGGCCTTCTCAAAGGCAGCTGGACTTCTCAGAAGCCCTCGCGCCTTCTGAGGAATTGTTCAGTGTCTTCGGGGAAGACTTGGAAAACTTCTCAGAAGGCCAGGGCGTCCGAGCCTTGTGAGAAGACCCGCCCCTTCTCTCGGGGGGAACGAAAGGGGGGCATAGCAAAGGGTAGGGTAGAGAATCAGCTCACGTAGCTGATTTTCCAAGCGCCTCCCGGCGCCGGGAGGCGCCCATGTATCAAGGAATGGGTCCGATGGCGGGGTCGAAGCCAGCTGCATGCAGCAGGTTTCGTAACCCCCCTTTCCCTACCCCCCCCTTTCGTTCGGCCCGATTCTCACTTCTCCCCCAGGCTTGCCGCCGAGAGGAGGAGGCCGACCGCGCAGCCCCCGCGCCTGACCCGATGCAGGCCACCACGAGGTACGGGTTCGCCCACGGCGGCATCTGCAGCAGCGAGCCGTCCTCGCTCCGCTCGCGGGGCGGGACGACGACGACGACGACGACGACGACGATAACGACCACGACGACGGCGGCGGCGGCGGCGACGAGGGCGACGAGGGCGACGAGGGCGACGAGGACGACGATGCCGACGATGCCGACGTCGACGCCTTCGCTTCGGAGGTCTCTGCACGCTTCTGGAGGTCCTCGCCGTCGCAGACGGCGGCTAGGTCGGACAACAAGGGGGGCTAGGACAGGGGGGGCTGGCGAATCAGCTCCCGTAGCTGGTTTTCCCCGCGCCTCCCAGAACAGGAGGCGCCAACTCGGGGATCTTCTGCCCTGAAGTCGATCCAGACCCGGGCCAATCAGGCCTTCCCGGATCCTGCAGGATCCTGCGCCCAAACCCGGGCCAAAATGCATCTGCAGGATCCTACAAGATCCGGCGCTCTGACTGACCCCCATTTGCATTGACCCCCGGCTCTTGCGCCCCGACCAGCGTGTCCAGGAAAACGCCCGGCGGCAGGGCCGAGACCAGCTGCACGCCTCGATTGTACCCCTTCCCTTTCCCTCGCGGGCTGGAACCCAGACGTGCGACCAGATCCGGGCGTCGCCATCAAAAAATCCGGGGCGGTCGCCCCCAGGACGCCCTCAAGAGGCCTCCGAGAAGCCCCAAAGTGGCCTTTGAGATGGAGCAGCAAAACCTCGCGAACTTCTTGGATCGGCGCTCCGAATACTCGCGAGCAAAACTCGCGAATTCAAATCGATCGGAACTTCAAAACTCGCAACAAAAACTCGCGACTTCAGAAGACTCGGAGCTCCGCGCGAACTTCTTGGACCGGCGCCGGGCACCCCATCCCTGGCGCGCGGAGCGCACGAGGGGCGGCGCTGGAGGCGCCGCCGAGGGAGGGCCAACGCCGATCCAATAAATCCGCGCGGACCTCCGAAAGTGAATGCTTATTTTTCGTTGCGTTCCTGTCTAAACAGCCCCCAATATGCCACCAGGAGGGCTCAAACAGGCACCCGCGAAACCCCTAAAAGGCCCCCAAGAAGCCCCCAAGGGGCCTCTCGCCCACGACATGGCACGATGGCCAGAATGAGAAAGCCACCTTATTAAAACGACATGTCTGGTAAGGCTTCTGGGACAGCCCCCTTGACTCGCAGACTCGCGCATGCATTCCCCCCCTCCCTCCCGAGACCACGACCCCACATAAAATGGATCCGCGCTCCCGAAGCCACGACCCCTGGTAAAAAAAAGAACAAAAAAACGATCCGCGTCCCGAGCTTCCAAGATGGCCCAGGCAGGCAACCAAGGCCACCAAGACGGCCCAAAATGCATCCAATACGGCCAAAGATGGCCCCAAGGCAACCCAATGTGGCCTCAAGACGGCCCGCGATGCCTCCAAAGGGCCCAAGAGGACCACGACAAGGCTCCGAACCAGGCCCCCCAAAAAACAAAATCATTGTTACCCCTCTAGGTTTTCGAAAGGGTTGTGGCAGTCTCGGGTTTCCGTCAGCTCAGGACGGCCCAAGAAGACCCCGAGATGGCCACAAGACGGCCCAAGAGGCCCACAAGAGGGTCCCAAGATGGCCCACAAGAGGGCCCCAGAATGGCCCAAGAGGTACCTAAGACGACCCCAGGACGTCCCAAGAGGGCCTCCAGAGGGGCCCAAGATGGTCTTAGAAGGCCCCACGACGGCCGATGACGGCGCCAAAACGGCCCCACGACAGAGCCAAGACGCCCCATACGGCCAAGAGGGCCCCAAGAGAGCCCAATAGAGACCCAAGACGGCCTAAGAGGACCCCCGGACGGCCCAGTAGAGACCCAAGACGACCTACGAGGGCCCAAAGACGGCGCAAGAGGGCCCCAATACGGCCGCAAGACTGCCCCACAAGAGGCCAAGAGAGCCCCAGCACGGCCCAAATGAGCTCCATGAGAGCTCCTCACATGTGACGCCCGTCTTCTTTTCATTCGTCTTATTCCCCTCATCCTCCTCCTCCACATCCCCATCCTCATCCTCATCCGCAGCCTCATCATCATCAGCAGCAGCGTACTCCTCATCCTCTCTGTTTCGCATCCTCGTCACCATCCTAGTCCCCCTGATATGTCTCATCCTTTTCCTCCTCGTCATCAGCCATCATCACCACCACCATCATCAGCAGCAGCAGCATTTGCAGCATCATCAGGATCATCAGCAGCGTCACCATTAGCATCAGCAGCAGTATCACAATCAGCAGCACCATCAGCATTTTGATCATCATTATCATCAGCAACATCATCATCACCTTCATCTTGACCATCATCAACACCACCATCATCATCATCATCATCATCATCAACATCATCATCATCATCATCATCATCATCATCATCATCATCATCATCATCATCATCATCATCAACATCATCATCCGCCGACCCCGCGTGGGTATCTACACGTGAGATTATTCCCCCCCCCGTACCCCCCCAAAAAAAAACCCAAACCGGCAACTCGATCCCCCCCATGGCCCGGGACGACCAGACGGCCCCAAGAGGAGGTCCAGAGGGCACCTTTCTCGAGCCTTCGGACCCAAGACGCCCCCAGCCTGCCCCAAGAACATGCCAAGAGGCCCTGAAGGACCCCCAAGAGAACCTCAAAGGCCTCCAAGAAGCCCCCAGGAAGCCCCCAGGAGGCCACAAAACTACCTGCAAGACGACCCCGTCCGGCCTCCCAAAAGATCCCATCAACCATCCGTGTGGCCGCACACCCGCAACCCAAGCACGGTGGCGGGATCACCGCCTGCCATTCGAGAACCACTCGTCTGGTTTTTGGACCGACGCCTGCCGTCTATGAACGCGGGCGTTCGCATGTATTCAGAACCGCGGGCGAAAAGGGCAAAAAAGAGCACCAAGTGGTACAATACCAACAGCGAAGCAACAGGAACGATGTCGAGCACCGTGTCATGATCCGGACAAGCCTCGTGAAATGCACTCCTGGAGGCACAGTAGTTTATATAGGGGTCGGCGGATGTGGCGTGAGCCTATAGAATCATCATCATCCTCATCATCCAGAGCATCAGCATCAGCATCAGCATCAGCATCCGCATCCTGACAGTGATCATCTTTATCGCGGATATCACAAGCCTGGGGGGCATGACATGTCACACGTGACGGCCTCCCGTGCCCCCTCGAACAGTCGCTACCCAGAGCGCTGGGCTGGCACGGCTGCGGGACTTGCCGCATGCAGCTGGATATACCCAAATGAACTAACAGAGGCATCGAAAACATGGCGGCAGCCAAACGCACAACTAAGAAATAGGGATGATACAGCTCGACGGAAAAACGGGACGCTGACATCATTGGGCTCATGATGGCGATGGGCACTGGTACGGATGGGACCAGGGTTGAGGGGCAACGATAGTGGTGGACCAGCTCAGGAGGGGAAAGCATCGCGCCTGAATCGGCGGCACATCGCCGATAAATCGGCAATAGGCCCCCAGTAGAAAAACCGCACGTCCCCTCGCGGGTTGGGCTGTGAGGCCCCATATCGGGGATCCGTGGGCGATTGGGGATCGAAGCAACCCCCCTGAGCCCATCTCCCCCCTAACGTTGCCCCTGAAGGATGCCTTCCCTGCGAAGGCAGAGACGAAGGTAACGAATAGGACAATGAGCCCGTCTGCCCTGCGGCCCCTGGCGGCCAGCAGCGCCCGGACGCCGACTGCTCCCGATCGGGGCCCAGAGCGCGAGGGGAGGGAGCAAGAAGCAGGCACCTCAATCGGAGCCAGAGCGAACGGAGCGGACAACGCGCCGCATCACCGATGCATCGGCGTTTCAGCGGAATGGACGACACCAGGCTCCAGATCGCACCGCCCCTGCTGCAGCCAGCGCGCCCGAGCAGGTCGCCTCCGCAGAGGGCCGACCCCGGGTGCAGATGCAGAGGTGGGCGGGGCGCATCAGCGGCACACCTCGGCTGCGGCCGGTGATCGAGTGTGATGCGAAATGGCCGAGGCCCGTTCATGTTCCACGATCGAGTCCAGTTCAGCTGCGACAACCTGGGTTGTTGGCCTCCGACTGCACCAGACAGGTTAGCGACTAGACAGTGTGGTTCGTGTCAGATGGTGCCTTTACAAATTTGACGCTCGCGGCGCGAAGAGAAGGACCATCCTCCGACAAAGCGTTCAGCGCGTTCAGCATCTCTATGATGACCTGGGCATCCAGCTCGATTCGCACCCCTCCTCCTTCTCCCCCTCCTCCACCTCCTCCTCCTCCTCCTCTATTGATTTCCGACTGACTCCAAAATGAATGGCGGTAGTCCCCCCATGAATACAAGCTGATTTGCGAAGGGGTTCATGACTCATGTTTGACTGCATACACAACTCACTCAATTGATGTGCGACGGCTTACCGGTTGCTTTGATACGGTGTCGTGCTTGATTGTGATCGCGCCTCGGTTATGATGCGATCTTACTTGCGATGATGCCCCGATTGATGTATGAAGTTCGTGCGATTGTGTCAGAATTGATAGCCCGTTGTTCTCAATAATTGCAGATGGATCTACACTTGCTTTGCGAATTGATTGCGATGTCACTCCGATTATGGAGTACTTATTGATTTACGATTGTGCCCCAATCGAATTGCGATGGTGTCCCGATAGACTTGCAGCGTGTTTCTGATTACTTCGCGGCTGACCAGGGACTCGAGTAATGTACATCAAGGACGAATGCGGCGGCGATTTCCCCCCCTCGGGGGGGGTCGCAAATTTTCCTGCATCGCCCCCCGACTTCTCCAACGGCGACCTCGCGCAGCCAATTGTCATGCCGCGGAGTCTTCTGATAAGCCCCTCCTGACCCCGCGACTAGAACACTCTTTGCGAGGTCAGCCGTGCCCCGCGCGCGCCGCCAACGCCGCCTGTCCGAGCCCCGAGCGCCACCGCGCCCCTGCGGTGAAGCTCTCGTACAAGCCGCGAGCTTGAGAGGACAGTTTTCGGCGATCGGTCGCGGCGTTTCTGCTGCCCCCCCTCATCTGGACGAGGACAACCCAATGGATCACGAAGCCGACCTGCGGGCCCAGAGCAAGGTGGCCAAACATATCACCTGCGGGCCACAGGGCTGGGGCGAGCACGACCACCGACAGACCTGGATCAGGGAGGCCGTCAACATCACCCACGGGAGAGAAGACACTTGTCGGACCAATTCGGTTGACAATTCAAGATGGCCTGGCCAAGATAAGGCGTCGATAGGTAGTGCCAGAGCTGACCGACTCACCTGCCAGTAGCGTGGGCCGACTTCAACGCGCCTGAGGGAAGAGCAGAGATGGGCCGAAAGCCGGCCGCATCTAAGTGGCCAGACGCCCCGCCTGCAGCTAGCCGGGCGCAGCTAGGTGGCTGGGCACCCCGCCCCTTGCCCCTTGCTGGGCCGAGAGTCGTCCACAGCTAGGTGGCCGGAGGCCCCTTTTAGGCAAAACCCCGATGGCGCACAGACGCGGCCGCCTGCCAGCGGTCCGCCGCGGGCCCCAAGACGGTCCAATAAGGTTCCAAGACGGTCCGAAAGGGGTCCAATAGGACCTGAACTCGGCCCTTGGGGGCCTTCGGGCGGCCGTCAAGGCCCCCAAGGAAGCCTCCAAACGACCCAAAGAGGCCCCCGAGATGGACTCCGAAAGCGACAGACGGCCCAAGAGCGCCCTCAAACGGACGCAAGGCCCCCCCAGGAGCCCCCGAGGCGCCCCACGGACGCTGCCAAGATGCCCCAAGAATCCCCGAAGAAAACCCGAAGAGGACCCCAGGGCTTTCCAATCATGTCGAACGCCATGTCGACCTGCGCAAAGACGGCGCCACAGGGCCCCTCCCCCTGTGGCCGCACCCCCCTGCAGCGGTACCCCCTGGGAGAGCTGTGCGAGACATTGTGGAGTTCTCTCCCAGGGGGTAGCCCATGCCGCCGGCAACGCCATTGGGGGCATGTCTCTAGGAGCTGCGCCAAACTATATAGAGGGCCCTGGGAGAGCCCAACAGCGCCCGACAGAGCTCCCACAGGGCCCGCGAGGCCCTGAGACAAGCCCTGGGGGGGTACCAAGACCCCGCCGCCCCGCCCCCCGCGGAAAAGCATCTGAAACGGCCGCGTCAGATGCTCTACCGCGGGGGCACCAAGAGGGCGCCCCGAGGGCCCCAAAGGGCTGCAGGAGCGCCCGAGAAGGCCAGGAGGGGCCCAAGACATGTCCTGGGGATCCCAGGAAGCCCGAAGCGCCCCTCCACGGTAGAGCATCTGAAACCTCCGTTTCAGATGCTCTGCAGCGGCGGGCCCGGGAGGGCGCCAGGAGGGCCCCAAGCTGACTCCAGGAGGGCCCAAGAGGGTTCCCACGAGGGCCCTAAGATGGCCCGAAGAGGCGCCCAAGAGGCCCCGAGAGACCCCAAAGATGCCGCCAGGAAGCCCCGAGGAAGCTCCCAGCCCCAAGCAGCCCCTGCGACCGCAAAGAGGCAACCAAGAAGCCCCAAGGGGCCTCCGAGAAACGCCCAAGAACAGATCTGAAGACATTCCGAGAGGCATCGAAGAGGCCTCTGGCCCCTCCGCTCGCCCTCCTCATCCCCCCCTCCGCTTCCTCATCCGCCTATTCGGCCTCCATCTCCGTCCACCGTCACATGTCCTCATCCGCCTTCAAAACGACAGCGATTGTCCTCCCCCTTCTCTGCTACATGCCCCTGCTCACATCGACTGGACTGGGCATCGATTCTGGATGGGTTGGTGGGAAAATGCGAAACGTCAAGCATTCGTTCGCACTCAATTCCACCGGCCACATAAAGGCCATTTTGCGCATGTGTAGTGGCTTTTCTAAATGAGCACAAGAAAATTGGCCCCGACCCCGGATCCAACGACCAGGCTCTATTTCTAACCAAAACTCCCGCGGCCAAGTATGGTCTGTTCTAACACGAAACGCGCCTTCAAGACAGTACCTCGGGCGCGGTGCTTGACCGGGCATTTGCGCGCGACGCCCCCGACGCCCCGGATGACCCCCCCCGGAGCAGGAAAAATCAGCTCCCGAACGAACGCTGCCTGCTGATGAGCGGGTCCTCCCAACCCTCAACTCCCTACATCCCCAGGGCGAAAGTTTTTTCCTTTTGGGCCCGGAACGACGGCTTGAAGTCTTGAGCAGACGCGCGTGAGATAACCGCCGTCGGATCCCGTGAAATTCGCGCGGATCCAATTGTCATGTTGGCGTCTGTTTCGGTGGATCCGAATTTCGCCCGCGCGGATCCAATCTCGGATTTGCTGGATCCGTAAACGGCCTCATTTTTTACGGCGGATCCGATTTTCAACCCGCTTGAAATTTATATAATTCAAGTAAAACGGGGAACTGGAAGAAATCGGATCCGCGGACCCCGGAACCCGTCCGTGTTAAGATTCTACAGGGAGAAACGGGTTCGGTCATTACTTTCCAACTCAGCATCGCCATTTACACCTCAAGTAGATCTTTCGTCCTGCGTAAGTAGTCGGCCAGAGGATACTTGCACGCATACGAATGGCATGCTGAAGCACATGCATGCGAAGGGTACCCATTGGAGAATTTTCGCCAACGCAATTTTGGAGGGGAGGAGGGGGGAGCGGACCAAGCAGCACGATGCGGAGCGCAGCGATGCGGTCGTGGCGCCATTGAACTACGTCAAACGTTAAATGCCCGGCCCTTTACAGGAATGTCCGGCGAGAGATGGTTTCTGTAAATATTCTCTCTCTCTCTCTCTCTCTCGGCGGCGCCAGGCTTGAAGCAGAGATAAAAGACTGAGGCACATTGACACAAAAGCGGGGGGAAGCAGGGAGGCGGAAGACAAGAAGGAGGAGCAACGAGGCGGGGGGCGGCGAAGAAAAACCACTGGAACGAAACTGTGAAGTCTTCAAGGCGAAATCGCAAGTACCTCAATGAATGAAGTAGTGCGCCCAGGAGCTCAAGGAACTCAGATATATGATTAGTCAGTGATCGAACCTCCGCCATGACCCACGTCGCGGCAGAGATGCCCAAAGGCTGCCGAACCCCATTTCGGGGCCAGGAATGTCTAGCTTTCGCTGGTCGGCATGTAGATTTTAATTTACTGGCCCTCATGCCCAAATTATCGTTGATCGCGATGAGGCCGACATCTGCGCCACGCGACGCCAACTGTGCGAATCGACCGAGCTTGCGATTTGAAGGAGCGCCCAGCACGGCGTCGCACGACAATTGGACACCATGACCCGCCGCCTGCAGGAAACCCTTCAGGCGCCAATGGCGCTCTCTGGGCGGCCGGGGTTTGCGAGGGGTTCCGCGTCGGCCTGAACGCGCCGAGAAACGACCCTGGGCGTCTGGTGAAACCCAGATCCCCAATCCGTCGCCGAGACGTCTCCACGAGCTTCCTCATCGACGCAAGTGGGCCCAAGAGCTCCATGCCTCGGGAAAGCCAGTAGGAACACCCGAGGAAGAGCGCGACAGGTCCCGAGAGACGCCCGATACGCCCTAGAGCGAGCCCCCCGCAAAAGCACGCAAGGAACCACTCGCATCCGCCCCGGACAAGGACGCAACCCAGACCCGCGACCGGTGAAATGACAGATTTTGCGGTATCTCTCATTTCACCGATCTGGCCCGGCGGGGGGTCCAGGGGCGGACGCCGCGCGCGCCCTGAGGCGGCGGGCCGATCGACGCAGGGCCGCGTCCTCGTTTGAGCGCGCGCACCGATCTGCGGCGCGGCGCGCGCAGTCCTGCGCCTGAGGCCTGCGGAGATTAACGGTGCACATATTCGTTTGGGCATGATGATTCCCGTCGACGTTACCGGGCAGCCTTGCAATACGCGCTGATCGAGCGGGATCAAGCCGCGACTATATAGGTACATGCGCCCTCAATGTCTGTTCGGGGGCCGCTCGGACCAACCGAAGGGCCGTTGCATCACGCGTCACGTCGCTTTCCATCAGTAAATCAAAATGCATCTACAGCGCGCGCGTCGTTCTCGAGGAGCCCAGCAGCATCTCGCGATGGCCACGCTCGCTTGGCTTACGCGCTCCAAGGAGGCAGCGGGCAGCGAAACGAAGAGCGCGCCGTGCAATAATTCAATTAAGCGTCTGCGATCGAAAAGCCGAGCAACCAGTGAAAGATAAATATTTTTGGCCCCGACCATTGTCACAGCTAGGGAGGGCGACACGCTGCAAGCGGGCGGCGTCTCTGCGGCGGCGGCGGTAAAACGACAGCAATGCTCCGCCAATTCTGGCACTCCGCAGGCGGCTCAGGACCGCCGACAGAAGCACAGAGGCAGCAGGAGACAATCCCCTGGACTGGTACTGAATTAACCTCGGAAGGCAAGGCCCGCCCTAGGTCTGCCCCCCGACCCCTGGCCGGTGCGCCAAACGCCCCACGCGTCCCGCGCCCCATGGCAGGGCCGCAGAACCTCATAGGCCACGACACTGCGCACCCCAAAAGAGGAGGGAGGGGAGGAGCAAGGGGCAGCAGGGAGCGAGGGGAACGGAGGCCAGGAGCTGAGGGGGGCAGGGGCGGGGTGCGGACAACCGGGCCGCATGAGCGCGCGTTGCCCTGAGGGGCGGGGGGACAGCACTCCCAAAAACAACAACAATAACAACAAAAACAAACACAACAACAACAACAACAACAACAACAACAACAACAACAACAACAACACTCACTTTACCCGAACGCTCAGTGTTCTCACCAGTGCCAGGGTTTTCATGCGACGCCAGCCAATACCCCCACTTTGTGGGGGGGCAGTGCAAGCTCTACCAAATATCCACACGACTCTTCGCCACCACCCACACCCAGCTTCCCGCCCTATGACGTTCGGACACTTCACTTCGTGGCCTGCGGACGACCGTGGCTACTACACTGGCGTGGAGTACACACCCACAGAAGTTGTTAAGCCTACGTTCGTACACCCACAGAAGTTGTTAAGCCTTGTTAACCCACAGAAGTTGTTAAGCCTACGGTGCGATTCGTGTGATTGTATGATGCGCGGTGCTAAAATTCTTAAGAAGCCCAATGGTTTTTGGAGATTTCGGCGTGCGCGCGCGAAGAAAAAACGAATGTGTCCCGCATGGTATTATTTGACAGGGATGATGGCCCTGGCAGGTGCGCAACCGTTGTCGCAGAAGTTCGAAAAAGTTGCTCGCAAAAGCCCGTTTGACAGAAATGTTTAAAAAGTGTTGGGTTTCCTACGAATCCGCAAGAGCGCGCGGGATGAGATTTTGACAATTTTTTGTTGAAAAACCATTGGTTTTTTGATGTTTTTATGTTAAAATCGCTGCGAACACTAAGGTTTTGGAAGGATTTCGTCTTGCGCGCGCGAATGTCCACTTTACCTTATTTTTTGCAAGGGATTCTTGAAATTTGATTATATTAGAACAAGAAATGTCATTTTCTATTGTTTTTTGCAAGGGAAAGCGGATTACAACAAAACAACCGGATCCTGTACACACCCTCTTTTCTGAGGCTTCCTCACGAAAATGATGAAAATGTAGCTGCGGCCTAGGCGGCGCAGGGGGGGCGCGCACCAGGGGGCCCAACAATAATTATTCTTTAGAATAAATAATGTTCAACAACAACAACAACAACAACAACAACAACAACAACAACAACAGCAACAGCAACAGCAACAGCAACAGCAGCAACAACAACAACAACAACAACAACAACAATTACAACAACAACCACAGCAACAGCAACAAAAAAACGTCATAACGGTAAGCGGCTGGCAGCATGGGGAAGCACTACCACCGGACTCAGACGCGCTTTGAGTTACGAAAGGCTCGCCGACCGCGGCCCGACAGCGTCGACCCAGATAGCCAGGCGGACCGAAGTGAACGGCAGCGGCGAAGCCGAACAAGAGCATGCAGCCTTCCCGCAGGCCCGTGCACGGACAGGGAGCGGCGCGCCGGTGCATCGGCGGGCGAAGACTCACCGTACATCCGCCATGACGCCGCAGGAGGCACAAAAGAGGCGAATTCCTGCATACACCTTGCGAAATGCTTAAGAAATCATGGGTTAAGAAATTTATAGTCTCAGAACTTGAGTAAAAACCAAAATGTCCATTCAAATCTTAGGATTTACATTGAAACATTAAGAATAATCGAGACCCTGGCCGAAAATTTAAGTTTTCTTCAGCATCGCCTAAGGTGTATCCATGCTGGCTAAAGGTAGCCGCCCTCGCCCCCCGCCTCCAAGAACCACCATTCCGCTTCCGAGAGCTCATTCGTGGGAGCCGCCAGGGTGTCCACGATCTGAAGCTGGTACTTTGCAACCGCGCTCTGACAGAAGGCACTGTTCATGCTCCAGAGGGCCTTCAGAAAGGCTGCTGGCAACGCGGGCTTTTCGTCCGCTTCCATAAGTCGTTCGGTTTCTGCGCCCAGTGCCGCGCATAGCTGCTCCTATTCGGGGTCTTCCCTAGGGGCACCACGCCAACTCCTCCTGGTCCGCAAGACATACGGATCAACTGCCGTATCGCGCGCATCCTGCAGCAACGGAGCGCTAATAGTGGCAGGCGGCTTCCAAGAGGAAGACGCTGCGGCTGCGGGGAATTTTGAGTCACGACTCTTCCGCACATTGTGCCTGCTATGCCTGTGCTGCCGTTGGCCCTCGGCCTCGGTGCAAATGTCTGTGGCACCATCATCCACGGTAGTTCTCCAAAACGCAGCGGCATCATCCTCGAGGACCGGGCTGGGGAACTTCGACCCGTCGTGGTAACAGTGTACCTGCGAGGGCACAGCAGTGCGGTCATCCACCAAGTCCGCAACCTCCTCCTGCACGACCAAAGAGCCCCGCACGATCTCGCTCTGCAGCGCGTCGACCACCAGCTCGCAGAGCACGTGCTTCAGCTCATTCGCCGCCTCCCAGAGAGCCCACTGTGGCACCTGTCCAGGATTGTCCCGCAGCAGGGGCGCGGCTCTCGAGGTGACCGTAGCGCGGATCGGACGCCCGTCCTGGAGAGTCGGCTCAGCCTGCACCTGGTCGCAAGCCTCGTCCGCGCGGCGACGGTGCTCAGCAGCAGACACCCCTGAGGACGCAAGCCCATCGGTGGTCTCTTCGGTCGCAGCGCCACGAGCAGCACGCTTCTGCCTGCGGATGGCCTTGTCGCGACGAGTCATGATGGAATGAAGCGAGGTGCTGACTCCCAGACGCCAAGAAGCAAGATTGACGCCGATGGCGTCACACGTGATATTCCGCCAATCTTGAGCCAAAGGGTACCCATTGGAGTATACAGCGTGCTTCGTCACTGCACCCACACCCGCCATGCAAAAAGCATACGATACGAACACACGTGCCGAACGAGTGCATGGGTCGAGCCACGGCCTGGTTCCGAACGAAACGAAAGGATATCGTGCAAACCTGGCGAGTTAACACATGCTCCCAAATCAAGAGCTGATCCAGCCCCCGTAGTGTTTTCAAAAGCCAGCTCGAAGCACCCACCTGGCTCCCCAACCAGATAATCCCAGGTCATGGCCCCTGCTCGCTCTGCACGCTCACCCGCCCAGCTGGGGGCCTCCCAAAGGGGGCCAGAGCACATGGGGTCGGACATCGCACCGCGTCGCCGATGCACCGGCGATACATCCGGCGACGGCGGCACGGAGAAGCTCGCGCCCAAGACCGCCCTGCATCGCCGGGGCATCGGCCAAGCGGCGCGATCCTCCGACCCCATCCGCTCGGGCCCCATCTGGGAGGCCCAGGCCCTCCCAGACGCAGCGAGCATCGGAGCCGCGACCAGAACGGTCAGCGACAGCGTGGACGCCTTCACCTTGCCCGCGGTGAAGAACGAGCACGGCTCCTGCGCCCCAGCAGGTGACTCACAGACAGCGATCACCTGCGGCAGGTTCGTGTCTGGACGGCTTTGGCGCTGGTCTCTGACGCCGCGTTGGCCGCTCAACCCTGACGATCGGCGGTCTTTCGCTCGCTTCTGGGACGCTGGCGGCGTGCAGCCCTGAACGCCAGCGGTCGCCGCTGCGTCGACGCGACGCGAACCTGCGGTGCGCTAGCGCTTCGTGCCGCGCGAAGCGCGGGCCCCCTCAGCTGAAGGGCGGGAAGCAAGGGCGCCTAACTTCGCGCTCCGCGCTGCGCGAGGCGCGGGTAACTTGGCGCTCTCGCGCCGTCCCCCAGGGGAGAATGAGGAGGAGGAGGAGGAGGAACGGGAGCCGCACCGCGAAGCGTGAATGACTTCGCGCCCTCGAGGGCGCCCCCCAGCGGAGAAGAGAGAAGAGAAGGATGAGGAATCGGAGCCGAACCGCGAAGCGCAAACCGCGAAGCGCGAAGCGCGCGAGTGACTTCGCGCCCTCAGGCGACCAGTGAAAACAGCTCAGGACGGGCCGCACAGGTAAGGACACATGGGCAACCTAGATGAAGGCGCGCGTCCTTACTGGGCGCGTTGACCGTAAGGAACGAAGCGGCTTGTCTGGCCACGGCGAGCCTCGGCCACGAAGAGGTTCCACGGCCCGGACCTGAGGAGCGGCCCGAAAACCCGAGCCCCTTCGGAGCCCCAAGGTGGTCCTTGTTGCAGTGTCTTGGCTGTGCCCCGGCAGACGGATGCACGGCAGCTCCTTCTTGGAACGGGGCTCTCGCCGGAACGGCAGGCCCACAGGGCGGTCGCGTTTCAGTGGGGGGTGCTCCGTATGGCGACAAGGAAGGCTCGTAGGAACTCGTGGTGGGGCCTGGGGCTGGAGGGTGGTTTGCAACACCCTTGACGCGTCATGGGTCTACATGCAGGTCCACTTCCTTCTCCTCCTCTGCCTCGTCCTCATCCTTCTCCTCCTCGTCCTCCTCTTGCTCATCCTCACATTTCTCCTCTGTCTCCTCCTCCTCCTCTACCTCCGCCTCCTCTTCCTCCTCCTTCTCCTCCTCCTCCTCCTCCAAGAAGCCCCAACTGGCCCGTGCGGGGCGATGCAGGCCCCCCTCGCAGGGACTGGCGGGGCGCAAAGGATGCGCTCCTCCACCTTACCCTCCTCCACCTTCTCTTTCACCCACCATCGTCCTTTTCCTACCATCCTACTAGGACACAAATAAGCCGTCTTTATCGGCAGCAACATCACTTCACCAGCGGCAACATCATCAGCGAAAGCATCGGTCGTATCACCATCGGCATCCGCATCAGCATTACAATCGCCGTGGCCATGACCATCGCTTCCGCGTCCACGGCCGCCCGGGCATAACGCCATCACCAACAACCATGCGTTCGTACCGATCTCAGCATCACCAGCCGCACCAGCATCCTCGTTACCAGTTCCACCACCACAATCATGAATAACCGTCGTACTCCTCGTCATCACCGCCACCCTCATCATCTCAGGCTTACCACCAAGACCGTAATCATAATCGGCATCACCATTGTCATCCTCGCCGCCATCGTCATAGTAATGGCCGTTACCGTTAGCATTACCGTCATCATCATCATCAGCATCATCATCATCAACATCAGCAGCAGCATAATCATTATCACCGACATAGACATCATCATCATCATCATCATCACCAGCATCGTCATCATCGTCATCAACATCAGCATTGTCAGCATCATCATCAGCATCATCTTCACCAACATCATCAACTGCATCATCACCATCATTATCAACAACAACAACAACAACAACAACAACAACCACAACAACAACAACAACCTCATCATCATCACCGGCGTCGAGCACAACAACAACAACAACAACAACAACAACAGCAGCACCAGCAGCAACAACAACAACAACGTCATCATGAACATCATCATCATCAGCATCATCAGCATCATCATCACCATCGACAACAACAACATCAGTATCATCATCATCATCATCATCATCATCATCATCATCATCATCATCATCATCATCATGTCGAATCCCCTCGTCGCTGGAAGAGCCAGGTCGCCCAGATGAAATGCTGGATCCCTGACCAGCCCGACCAGCCAGCCAAGCGCAGGCTGCGTGGGAAGCAGACCCCTCCCGCTCTGGCTGCCTCTGACAAGCCTCTCCTCACCTGTCCAGCTTGCGGCAACCACTGCAAGGGACAGCAAGGGCTGGCTGCGCACCAGAGGCGCAAGCATTGCAGAACGATGACTGCGCGTAGCTTCTGCGTGAGGTCAGTATGCCCTGC